ATAGGGCCAATACAATAAACATAAATAACTGAAGAGAAAACCTTTCAATGGGCTAAAAGGGTCTTGAATGTCATGCTATTTATAATATGATAATAATGACACATTTATTTAGCCATGACCTTACTATATAGCCCAGGCTGGCCACCAACTCAAGATTAACCCAGATTAACCAGAAGTCACCCAATCTTATCTGATCTAAAGCTTATCAAGGCAGGCCCTGGTTAAGTACTTGGATGGGAGGTGTGCTGAAAAGACACAGAGTATGCTATTGATAAGAGCAAAAGGAAGAAAGATGCATACATTTTCTGAGTAATTATTGCTCATGTACCATAAGGCATCCAACATAATGCTTAAAATGCAGGTCAAACAATAAATACAGAAGCCATGGGCAGGCAGGATCATTAAGCAGGTAAGGCCAAATGTCTCTGCCACCAAGCTGGACAACTTAAGCCGATCCCCAGGACCTATACAGTTCCTATATAGTCGAAGGACAGAATACCCACAAGTTCTCCTCTGATCTCCACATGTGTTTGTAGGCACTCACACAAATGAATAAATACATGCATACATATGAACATATATTCATACATACAAAATTTAGTCATTGGTCTGAGAGTGCTCGCTTAGCATGCTCAGGACCCTCAGGTCTTACATGCTACACACAAGTGTAATTATCGCAAAATACAGCTAGATGACTGACAGAGGAAAAATAAACATTGCAATACATGGCCGCTAAATGGTTCATAAATGATGTCTCTTCGGATGGAAGGGATAAATATCAAAGAGAAATTTACAAAGGACATAGTAAAATTACGCATACATCCTAAAAGACTACAGTATCTTAGATATTTCATCATGTTAGTTACTATAGGGCACAGAGAACTTAACCAAGCTGGTGCTCACCACCTATAATCCCAGCACTCGAGGCTGAGACAGGAGGACCACAAGTTTGAGGCTAGACTAAGTTCCATAAAGACTGGGACCTCACCTTAAACAGTGGCTAAGATACTACACAAAAGATTTTTAATAAAAAAATAAAATAAATTCTCCTGTGAAAACTGGCAACACCTGACTTTGAGAGAGACAGTAAGACACACCAGGCTGGGAGGCGTGAAACCGTCTGCCAAGATAGTGTGTAACATTTTAATGCTCTAATTCTATTTGTTAGGTTTACAACTAAAAAATAATCAAGCTGTATCCACAGGGATGTTTATCAATGTCTAATTTCTAGACAAGTGCTCTACCACTAAGTTATAACACCACTGTCCAGTTTAACTTTTAAACAATTATTACATGTATTTGTATATGTACATGGCACACATGTTGTTTAAACAATTATTACATGTATTTGTATATGTACATGGCACACATGTTGAAGTCAGAAGGCAACTATTTGAAATAATCAGTTCTCTCCTTCTGCCATGTGGGTCCTGGGAATTGAACTCGGGTTATCAGTCTTGGTGGCAAAGCTGTCTTTATGTGTTGAGTCATCTTATTGTCCTTAAATGTTTAATTTCTAACCATAGAAAAATGACTGCTCACAATATAAAGCTGGCCAGAGAAAGAGTTTATGATATAGCACTATAGTATTCCAATTTTAAAATATATATACTTAGAAGGTTAGTTGCCAGGCTGGCAAGATGACTCAGACAGTAAAGGCACTTGCTGCCAGGCCTGACCCTCCCACCACCAGGACCCCTGTGGGAGAAAGCTGACCTTCCCACGTGTGCAGTGGCAAGAAAGTACCCCCACACACTAAATAAATGGATTAAATACACACACACACACACACACACACACACACACGATATTATAGGCAACTTAAATTTGATTTTTCTTTGAATTTTTCTGCCTTTTGCTTTTGTTTTTCAGTTACTTTGAGTTTCAGCTGGATACTTTTTTAATTTGGCAGAAACATGCAAATTAGCAACAATGAATATATTATGCATATTGTGTGGATATTGTCACATAGAAGCTACTACAGAGAGCCCTGGCTGTTGAATAGTAACTTTTTTAAAGACAGGGTTTCTATGTGACTCTGGCTGGCCTGGAACCCACAATATAAAATAGGCTAGTCTCAGACACAGAAATCCCCTTGTCTCTGCTTTCTGAGAGCTGGGATTAGAGGCTGCGCCACCACACCAAACCCAAATAACTCATTTTTAAAACTGTAATTCTAAGAGCTTCCTTTCTCCCTTCCCTCCTTTCTTTTTTAAAGACAGGGTCTCAAGCACCCCCAGCTATCCTCACTCTCTGTAGCTGAGGATGACCTTGAACTTCTGACCCTCTGGCCTCTCAGAGAGCTGGGATTACAAGTGTGTTCCACCACACTTGGTTTATAAGATACTGGGGATAAAACCCATGGCTTCCTGCATGCTAGGCAAGCGCTCTGGCAACTGGGCGAGGTCCCAGTCCTTCCTAAACAATTTGATCCAAGCCCTTTTAACAGTTTGATCTTCTACACTTTCTGTAATAAACATCTACTATCTTACTCCTCAGGCAAGATCGTGCATTTGCAAAACTGAGACAAGATGGAGTTAGAGGTCAATTCGGGATGCACAGGAGGTTCCATAAGAACCTTGGAAACAGACTTTAATCCCAGCACTCAGGAGGCAGAAGCAGGTGGATCTCTGTGAATTTGAGGCCAGCCTGGTCTACAGAGTGAGTTCCAGAACAAGCTCCAAAGATACACAGAGAAACCCTGTCTCGAAAAACCAAAAAAGAAAACAGAAAAGTATGTAGGGATGGAGGGATGTGGTTCTGTGCTGGAGCACTGGCCTGCTGTGTGAGGCCCTAGGCTCCGTTTCCTTTGTTGTAAAATAGTAAACAAATCTGTATATATCCAAAGGAAAGATACCAAGTTAACTCAGGCAGGTGGATGGAACTACAGGGTGAGCCCGTCACTGTCTGTGATGGGGAAGAGGACATTCTCTTTAAACTTATTAATAAGACCTAGTATGCCATCAAACACTTCCTACCGTTGGCTAAGTAACAGGGAGGGGCATGATGAACACAGCCAAAGAAAGGCCTTAAAATGGGGGCAGGAGACAAAACAAAGTCCCTGTTCAGCAACAAGACCTCACACTGCTCACACAGGACATGGCCCCAGACAAGACCCACATCAGCTCAGTGGCCTCATTACTTCACTCTCAAGTTTAAGCAAGAGGAGGGTGGTAGGGAGGGCATGGGGGGGGGCGCTGATGAGGAAAGAAACTGCTCAAAGAGAAAGTTGGCAGCATTTAACCTTCAACAAGTAAGAAAGGACAATGAGAGAAGCCACTGTGCAAACACACAAGGGACTGCTTCCAACTGGCTTGTCACCTGCCAGCAATGGACATCAGCACCACAGCCAGAGTAGTGAGTGTTCAGTGCACAAGGGTGAACCCTGCCTTCCTGGGGAGAGACTAGCAAGAGGCAAGACCGGCAGATTCCCTGCAGGAGTAACCCAGACACTTCCATTCACTGTGAACTAGAGACCTGGGCAAGGTCAAATCCAAGAGGCAATTCCGCAGAACGGAGGCAGTTTTTTTTGTTTTTTGTTTTTTGTTTTTAATCAGGGCTCAGCTGCCGCTCCCAGGTTGCAATTCACAGCAGAGGAACCAGTGCATGCATGGGACCAGTGCATGCATGGGTGATGGCAACCAGATTCTGAGGCACCCAGGAGACGGTGCTAAACACAGTCCCAGCATCAGGACAGAGATCTGGGACACTCTATCCACCAGGATACAGCTCATGTGTCTAACGAACGAAACACTCAAAAATAGGAACATGGGGTGGTGAGATGGCTGATTGGGTAAAATCAGTGATCTGGCTGAAGAGAACAAGGTCCTCAGAACTCGAGTGTGCAAACACCCACGCACACACACAAATATACATAAATGTACACATACACTTATACATATACATAATGAAATCAAACATACATACATAAATGTAATGGAAACTTTTAAAGAATTATTGAAAACTAAACACAGAGTACACGCCTATCCTTAGTCTCAGCACTTAGGAGGTTGAGGCAGGAGGGCCTTGAGTTTCAGACTAGCCTGGGCTACCTAGCAAGATTCCAACTCTCAAGAAACAACAAACAAACAAACACGAATTGGAAGGGCTAGTGGCTGCACAACTGCCATCATGCCAGGCTACTTGCCTTCACCCTTTTAAACGCCCCCCAAAATTAGACTCTTATTTTACGTAAGAAATCACTGAGGGCTGGGTAGTGGCGGTGTAGGCCTTTAATCCCAGCAGTCAGGCAGAGTAAGGTAGAACTCTGAGTTCGAGACCAGCCTGACATATATACAGAGCAAGTTCTAGAACAGAGCTACAGAGAAACCCTGTCTCGAAAAACCAGAGTGGCAGGGAGAGAGGAGAGAGAGGGAGGGAAGGAGAGAGGAGGGGGGAGGGAGGGAGGGAGGGNTATCAAAAAAAGAAAAAGAAAGGGAGGAAGGAAGGAAGGAAGGAAGGAAGGGAGGGAGGGAGGGAGGGAGGGAGGGAGGGAGGGAGGGAGGGAGGGAGGGAGGGAGGGAGGGAGGGAGGGATCACTGAGGCTCTGAGAATAAGAAATAGCAGGTCTCTGTGCTGAAGGCACAATGATCTGGGCAGCCAAGGGCAGCTGCTCTCCAGTGGGTGGAAGCTAGACCCTGTGCTGAGAAGGATGTAGGCCAGCTCTTAGTCCATGAAGGATAGCAGACCAGTAATAGCAACCACCAATCACCGACTTTTGGAGGCTGCATGAGGAAGAAACATTACAAGATGACCCACACTTGGCCTTCCCTTCCTTCCCTCGTTTTCAGGACTCTTGTTCTGTCATTTAGGCTGCCGCTGCACGACGGGCCCACGTCACTACTCCAGCTCAGTTTTCAATATTTCCATTTACCCAGTGAAGTTATGGCAGTCCTGGGAAGTCACACAGCTAAGCCACAGAACTGGAGCCTATGCCTGACCTCTTTCCAGAGTCCCAGCTAATGAGGCCAGCCCGGGTTCCACCCCTAGGAGGTCTCTACCTTGATTGAGGTATGTCAAGGTCTCTTCATGTAGCTTCACAGCTGGGGAGGTGGCAGCACACAGCACGTACTGCAGGGGTGGCAGGCGGGCCCCATTCTCAGGAGATAGCTGTGGCTCCTCCTGCTTGAAGATGGGCAGAGCCAGCACATCACTGTAAAACACAGGAAGCGGTGGTAAGGAGTAGAGTCCAGGAACACAGAGCTATGTCGGGCGAGAGATGCAGGCCACGGTACCAAACACGGTCCAAATCTCAGGTGCAACCACTAGGGCATGGTCCCAGCCCCGTTCAATGGCCCTCGTGAGATCCAGTCACCCAAAGCCTGGAGACGGGAAAGTGTAAAATTGTCTACCTCCTGAGGCCTAAGCGACAGAAACCAGCAACTATTTCTTTCTTTTTCTCTTGGAGAGCTGATTTTTTCCCCCTCCTTTTTCTCAGTGGGGGAGGTATATAGTGCTCAGGAACTGTGTGCATGCTAAGCAAATGCTATACCACACTGAGCTACAGCCCAACAAGGGCACCTGCTTCCCATCTGTAAGCAAAACACTCAAGACAGCTTTGAAAATAATCTGGACAATTTTTGCTTTTTTTACATTATTTATTAATTTAGTGGGTGGTGTGAGCAATACACCTGTCACGACATATGTGGAGGTCACAGGACAACATGCAAAAATGAGTTCCTTCCTATCACATGGGTCCCAGGGACTGAACTCAGGTAGTAAAACTTGGCACCCCTACCCACTGAGCCACCTCATCAGCCTCAATTTTTATTCTGTAATCAACTCTATATACCGACACTCAGCAGTACTCCTTAACTATAAACTGCATAGCTGAGGAGCAAGTACCTCCTCATCCACATGAACATGCACCCCATCTCTCCCAAAAGGGGGACAACTGGCTTGGCTTGTTTGTTTTGGGTTTGAGGGGCGGAGTTGAGACAGGGTTTCTCTGTGTAGCCCTGGCTATCCTGGAACTTAGTCTCTAGACCAGGCTGGCCTCGAACTCAGAGATCTGCCCGCCTCTGCCTTCAGAGTGCTAGGATTAAAAGCGTGCACCACCATCACCCAGCCTGGAGTTTTTTGTTGTTTGGTTTTTGAATTTGACACGTTTGTTTAGTTAGTTATTTGCATATGTGTGTGTGCACAGGCACATGTGAACACGTGCGTACACAGAGTGCGCTAACACCAAAATCAGGGGAGGGCTTTGGAAGCTGGTTCTCCCCCTAAGTGTGTGAACTCCTGGGATTGAACTCAGGTCATGAGGCTCGGTAGCAAGCACCTTTACCTGCTGAGCCATGTTGCCAGTCCGAAAGTCCTGCTTTCAAGCTCCTAATAATTTACCCAAAATACTATGAAGATAGAAAACCTTGATTTCAGTCTTACCCAAGCAGCAAATCTTAAAAGGCTTAAGAGTTGTTTCCTTCACTACTAAATAATGTTCCCTACAGCAAAAAGTCAGCCCTGGGCTGGGGGGCCAGCTCAGTCAGCAAAGTATGTGGAAGCATGAGGACCTAAAGTCACCTTCCAGAGCCCAGTCTACAAACCTGAATGAAGTAGCGTTCACTAGTGACCCCAGTATGGGAGAGACGGGGTGGCAGGATGACCCCCAAGGCTCACTGGCCAGTCAGCTTAGCCTGCCTGCCAAATTTCAGGCCAGCAGGGGACCCAGCGAGAGGAACACCACTAAAGACTAGCTGGCCACTGTGGCCGCTCCTTTAATCATTTGAGAGGGAGAGACAGGTGGATCTCTGTGAGTCCAAGGCCAGCCTGATCGACATAGGGTTACAGGACAGCAGAACTACCTAGTGAGACCCCATCTCAAAAAAACACAAAACAAACAAGAAACCAATACTGAAGGTAGTCCTCTGGCTCCTACACACATGCACAGATCATCACATCCATGTACACATCAGCCTCCAATCATCCTGTAGCAGAGGAACTTGTTTCTAGACCTTTCCAGAAAGGTCTAGTCAGTATGTTGCCCGGGCTAGCCTTGAACTCCCAGACTCAATGAACTGTCCACTGAGTTGAAGGACTATAGATGAATGCCACTGCAAAGACCAATGGAATCCCTGAGGATCAGAATGACCCGCAGGCAGGAAAGACTTGCTTAAAGGTTCTAAACTATGTTGCCACAGAAACAGCTACCAGAGGGTGTCCGCCCTATCTTGATGACCCTCCTCCCTCCATGGGTCTGGGCCATGAATCAGATCAGCTGACCCAACTTCACTGCGTAGTCACCAGGACTATGTGTTCCCTGTACAGCATCATAAATGAGTGTCCATGAAACACAACCCAGCACACGCCCCAACAGTGTTTAACTCCCAGAAAGCCTGCCTGTGGGCACACCTGGGAAACCTTCCCTATGTGGACTCTTCTGTTATTCCTGTCTGCTGCTGAGACAGAGAGAGAGACAGAGACAGAGAGACAGAGCAGGGCTGACCAGCTAGCTGCACCTTCATCAGAAGCAAACCTCCCTTTCCCCTTCTCCAGCCTGGGCAGTTATGAAGGAGCACAAGTCGTCCTGCTCACCTAGGAATTGCATAATTTCATGTTTGCCCAGACCATGTTAAGTTAATAATCCATGCACTGTTACTTTTAAATTAAAAAAAGAGGGGGGTTGTTAAGAACCGTCACTCAACACTAACTTGTTTCTGGCCTGGTGTCCTTATTTGCTAAGGAATAAAAGTCACCAGAACATCAAACAGAAAGGAGCGGGAGGGACCTGAAGGCCACTCACTCTTCGGTGAAGTCAGATGGCTTGTAGAACTTCCAGCAGAATAATAATAATAATAAAAAGGAGGGCCGGAAGTTATCAAAATGGAAAGTCCCGGGGTTCATCCCAGCACTGTAAAAAATTAAATTAGCCAAGCGGCGGTGGCGCACACTTTTAATCCCAGCACTTTGGAGGCAGACGCAGGGGGATCTCTGTGAATTTAAGGCCAGCCTGGTCTACAGAGCAAGTTCCAGGACAGGCTCCAAAGGTACAGAGAGAAAAAACAAAGCAACAACAACAAAAACAACAATAAATTAATTAAATTAAAAAATTTAAAGAGGAAAAAAGCAAAACAAAAATATCCTCACTCTAGCACGGACCACAGGCCTTCAAGGAGGTCAAAAACTATTTGAAAGTAAAAAAAATAAAAAAGGCAGCTTCCAAGAAGGCAGCATGGACTGTCTTCACCCAGTGCTCCCTCAAAGGAACCAGTGCAGCTTGGTAGCACTCAGCCCCAGTGATTGACTTCCTCCTTCCATGCAAAGTCCAAATCCTAAAAGTATCTGGGTTAGTTCACTAACTTCTATCTCAGGCGAAGATGCAAGACCACACCTTTCTTCTCACAAAACTGTCCCCTAACAGGTGCCTCCAACTTTAACTCAAGGTCACCTTCAAATGCATTAAGACAGGACGAGCTACCTAGTGGCCACTCATCTAGTAGTAGATCAAAGGAAACTACCAGCAACCTTATAGGTATTACAGCTAACACGTACTCACTCTGTATGTAGCATTTTTAACTGTGGGCTTAGCATTACCTTCAGCACACCAGGATCTGCAGTCAGACTGATTGCCACTTTCTATGACTTGGAGTTAAACAAACAAAAACTGAAGCTACACCAGCGAAACCTGGTCAGGCTTAGGCTTTCTAAGAAGGGGGTGTCTTCCCAGAGGGCTTCTGGACATAGGAACTTAAAAGTAAACATAACAGAAAATTCAAGCTGGGAGATTTGGGGGTCCAAGGAAGCACGTAAGGTTCTGCATTTGGGATCGACTTCTGCTTGCAAGCTCGCTTTTTCCTGAACCCACGTCCAACACCTTTTGGGTTAAGTAAGGCACATAGAATAAACTGTGAGTAGGATGGAAATAAAGACAGGTTGAAGCTGGTTCTGGCGAGTTCAGAAAATGAAATGCCTGCCTATTGGCCCTCCAGTCAGCTGTACCACGGTGGAAAAAAAAAGAATTCCGTAGTCACCGAAGCAAAGAGGGGGTGGGAGTGTGGGGGGTGTCTACTTCCTAAAATAGGGAGTTCAGAGAACTTTGCGACACCCGCAGAACCCTCTTCCCTTGATGCACGCTAGAGAAATCCCCGCACCAGAGATTTAGAGGCCGGGGCCTGGGGGCCACACCAAGCTCACCCGGGCAGGGACAGGGACGGCTAGCCCACAGGAGCCCGGGCCCTCGAGGCTGCAGCGCAAACCGGCTCCCACCACCCACCTGTGGGCCCACCAGCCGAGACGAGCAAAGAGCGGGGCCTGGCTTCCTGGGACACGCGAGCGTCTGATGGATGTGGCAAGTTTATTTCTCCAACTGGAGAAGGGAGAGGGAAGGCTGCGGGACCGGGCCGGGGACGCTGCGAGCGACCGGGAGACCTCGCAGAGTCGCCCCGCTGGCATCAGCGCGCCGCCTCCCCAATCAGCCCCCCGGGGGTCTCCCGGAGAGTTTCCCCCCTGAAGGCCGCACTGGTCCGTCGGCGCCCTGACCCCGATCGCAGGCAGGTGCTGTCCGGTCTTACCGCAGGTAGCTGCCAGAGTTGTGCTGGTTGTAGTGTTCGGGCTGCGTATGCCAGAACAGCATGGCTGGGGCTCCCGCAGCACCGGCCGGGGCGTGGCACCGAGCTGGACGCGGCGACACCGGCCACCAGCAGTCCACCCCAAAGCAGCACTCGAACCCGAGCACCCAGCGGGCGGCGCCTTTTATGGGCCTCGGGTGGGCGTGGCTCCTGGGGCGTGGTTACTGCCGGTCCACCCCTACCGCTAGCGCGGCGGGAGGGCGGCGCTGGGCCGCACCTGGCTGAACCTTCCCGTGCCTTTCCGGGAGCTCGCTCCTGGCCACTGCCCCTGGGGACACGGCCACCCCCATTGCGGCCTACTGACCTCTCAGTCCCGACTCTGAGCCCAGGGCAGATCCCTAGAGACACGGGGCGCTTGTCAGTGGCAGGAGTACCTAGGCACTCTGGATCGCGTTAATGTTGCTTTTGTTTTTCCTTGAACTGAACACTGATGGTCTGGCCTTTTATTTTTTTCTCCTCCTTTGCTTTTTCTTGTCTTTAATCCCATTGCTAGGCATCTATGTGGTTCACTGCTCGCCTAACATACACAAAGCCCTAGGTTCTAAGCCCAGGTGGGGTAAAAACAGACCTGAAATCCCTGCCTTGGTGGGTGCAGAAAGACTACAAGTTCAAGGTCATTTTCTGCTACACAGTAAGTGACGGAAAAGCAGGAGAGCTTTCTGTAAAATAAAAAAAAAAAAAAAAAGGAAAGAAAATAGACACCTGGGACTGCTATTCAGAGGCCAGTTACTCCTCAGTCGGAGTTCAGATGTGCCGGGGAAGAATCTGAAAACACAGGAGTTACAGAGCCCACAGGGCTTGTGACAACCCTGCTTTGACAACCTGGACTTGTGTGACCCACAGAAAAGCTTAGGAAATAGGGTGAAGAAGCAGCCACAGGAGGCAGGGGTCTTTCCACTGTCTCCCTCCCCTTCTTTCAGGATTGCCTTTTAGCTTACAATTCTCTGTTCCCACCCCATCCGTCTCTCTCTCTCTCTCTCTCTCTCTCTCTCTCTCTCTCTCTCTCTCTCTCTCTCTCTCTCTCTCTCTCTCGTGTGTGTGTGTGTGTGTGTGTGTGTGTGTGTGTGTGTGTGTGTGTCTGTATGTGTGTGTGTACACGCGCGCAGGGGGCGGTAGCAGCATTGTACCTTGGTGTGTATGGAGTTCAGAAGGTAGTAGGCACTTCTCCCTCTACCACGTGGGCCTGGGGATTGAACTAAAGTCTTGGGGATAGGCAGCAAGCACCTTTACTGAAGTGCCATCTTAAAGGAGGTTTTGATGTTTATATTCTGGCTGAGTGTAAACCAAGGCCGGGGCAGGTGGGCAGGTAGGAAGGTGTTCAGTCCCTGGAGCTAGACCCACAGGTCTCTGGACCCTAGGACCTCACCAAGGCTTATGAGACTTTGGAGACCTGAGCCCTTCACTACCTGGGACTGCACAGATACACAAGTCCTCCTTTCCGTGCTGGCCTGCTGTCTCTCCTGCTGCTCTGTGAGGAACCGTCACTCCCTGCCTGCCTTTTCAGGGACCACCTCTGCTGCGCTGTCGGCTCCTGGAAGTCACGTGTCTCCAGAGGGTGGTCAGCATTCCTGTGGCTATCACACCCATCTCTTTGGATGTTTGACAATGCAGAGGCCATTTTGGCCCCAGAGGTCCCGTGGAGAAACTGTAAGAATCGAAGAAGCCATCACCTCTGTCTGCTGTTCCCACTCTCCCTCATACTGACACTAAAGAATGTGTATTGAAAATCCTGACCACTAAGTGCCCCATTAGGGGCCATGACAGTTCCATGTGTTCAAGAGGAGAGCACTCTAGGAAAATGCCAACGAGCCAGGCCTTCCAGAGGCTCCTGTCACCCTAGCAAGGCCAGTGGGTGAGCAGAAAGTACAAAATAGCCATGCATGGTGGCGTACGCCTTTAATCCCAGCACTCAGGGTGCGGAGGCAGGCAGAGCTCTGTGAGTTTGAGGCCAGCCTAGTCTGTAGAGCGAGTTCCAGGACAGTTAGAAATAGACAGAGAAATCCTGTCTCGAAAAAAAAAAACAACAACAGAACGATGAAACAAACAAAAAAATTCCAAGAAGCAAAAACTATTATGGGAACGGTGTGTGTGTGGGGGGGGGGGAGACAGTCTGACTTTGGAGCTTCCAGGGTGTCAGCAGCAAACGGCTCAGCAGCAATGGGCTGTAGTATCAATGCGCAGAGGAAGGCCTCCAGGTGAGCACACATCACGTGCTAAGACTCGGAGAAAGGGAATTCAAAAAGGCAAGCACGTGGCCAGGGCTCAGACTTCACTGCTGAGTTGTGAGGTGTGGCCCGTGGGGGGTTAATACACCCCAGATTGTTTGTACCGTACTTCCCTGTTGGTTCTCTCTCTTTCCCTTTCAACTGGGCCCCTACGCCTTATGGAAGTAATGTTAGACTAGGTCCGACCACATCCCTAGGGTACCATGAAACGTCTTCCTCTGCCCCAGCTCTGAAACAACAGTAAGTTCACGGGAGAGGGGCGTTCACCTGCCTTCAGGCATCCCGGCCCCTCGGTACTCCAGCAAACACAAAGGTCATGTTAACACTCCCCAACTGCAGGCTAGGGTGGCTTGCCAAATACTGGCCCTGAGAACCTAAAATTGGCTTTCTTTCTGGGCCGAACTAACGGGAAAAGAAATGTAGATACTATTGTCCTAGTGTATGGCAGGTGACCGCAAAACCTCTCCGGAGGGCAGAGGCAGCCTTTTGATTCCTGCTGGGAGGATAATGAATTTCTGAGCTTTTAACTTTTCAGTCTTTTGGGACACAATTAGTCTGCTATAGAGAGGACCGATATGCAGATGAACCATCTTTTCCTGTCTTTACTTTGTAAATGTATGCGATTTGCATATGATCGGAATATTGACTTTTGATTGCTTTTGTAAAATTAATTTATTTGTGGGAGGGGGCGTGGCACAGCCCTCACTTGACGTCAGAGGGCAGCTTGCTTAGAGTCAATTCTCTCCTTCCAGCACGTGGGTCCCAGGGCTCTAGCACAGGTTGTTAGGCTTGGAGGCAGGCACCCTACCCACTGAGCCATCTCACCAGTCCAATGGCTGGGATCTTCTTGACACATTCTCTCATCTTAACAAAGAATCTGATGAGGTTCAGGAGGTGGATCCCACAGTGGTGCACCCAGGTCCCTGCTGGCACTTGGGACTGGCCTGTGCACCGCGGTCCTGCTGGCACTTGGGACTGGCCTGTGCACCGCGGTCCTGCTGGCACTTGGGACTGGCCTGTGCACCGCGGTCCTGCTGGCACTTGGGACTGGCCTGTGCACCGCGGTCCTGCTGGCACTTGGGACTGGCCTGTGCACCGCGGTCCTGCTGGCACTTGGGACTGGCCTGTGCACCCGCGGTCCTGCAGTCCCTGTCCTCATGCCCTGAGTTCCTGTCTTCACCTGGTACTGGGAAAAACTTGTTATGATCAACGTGTCTGTCTGCTCCGAGAATCAACCCCAGAGTCCTTTAAAAACAAAAATAAGCCCTCCATTTCCTGCAGAGTCCCTATGGTCACCCATTTAACATTTCCCAAGGGTCTCCTAGCTTTTCTTGGACACCACCATGACTCTGAAGCTTGTACCCTAAGAATATGATTTGACTGGGTGCTGGGAGTTCATGGAGGCCTGGGAAGGGGCTGGGACTGAACTGGAGGAAAAATGTGTAAGCATTTTTTTTTTTTTTTTTTTTTTTGGTTTTTCGAGACAGGGTTTCTCTGTGGCTTTGGAGCCTGTCCTGGAACTAGCTCTCTAGACCAGGCATTTTTATGGAGGTATCAGGTGCTCATGGGCCTGCAGCAGTGAAGGAGTCGGGAAAGCAGTGGGCAGGGGGTCCAGTCAAGACATAAAGGCCTCCTAGTGGATGCCTTGGGGACCCCAGAGACCAAATGGCAGCAGGGCGCCAAGTGCCCTGTCCTGGATGAAACACGTCAGATGGGCATTTTGGCACACAATAAATCATAAAATTTAATAAGAAAGAAACCATCAATAAGTATAAGGAACTTATTTGTGTACAAAAAAGGGACTTTCTGTGTTCCACTTGCTTTTAATGTAGCACAGTTGGTAGGACACTTGCCCCGCGTGCACAAAGCCCTGGATCCAATCCTCAGAACCAGCCAATGATGCATGGCTATAGTCCCAGAACTCTGGGTATCAGAAGTTCAAGGTCACCCTCAGAGAGTTCGAGGCCATCCTGGGATACATGAGACACTACTTCAAAATAGACAATAGTTTAAATGGCAGAGAAAGGTATCCCTTCACCAAGTTTTAGAAGTCAATAGTCAGAACCACTCACCATGGTACCCACTAGCCACAAAGGGCCACCGACCCATACTGGGAATGTGAAGTCCACACAAACTGCAAAGACGTGAATAAAGAAACAGGCTAAGATATAGCCCACTTGGATAGCGCGAGCCTAGAATGCACAGGGCCCTGAGTCCACCCCCAGCCTGACAAAAACAAAACAAACCCCACAAAACTATACCACAATCGATGAATAACTCATATGCCAATCATAGAAGAGATGATTATTTTTGGAAAAGGGTCGCATGTAGCCAAGGCTTGCCTTGAGTTCTTATAGAGCTGATGATCATCCTGACCTTCTGCCTCCACCTCCTCCTGCCTCACCTCCCACTGCCACAGACAACTGCCACCACCACATTTACAGAGTGGAAATGAAGCCCAGGCCTCAAGCATACAAGACCGTCACTCTACCGGCTGAGTTGCACCCTAGCCCCAGAACTCCTCATACTCATAGGGCTGCTATGCCCTCTTGAGCAGACCCAGCAAACAGTCCTGGGTGAGTTGGCCACTTGCACTTTGGCACAGTGCCTCCCCTCTGGGGCCGAACAAGAAGCCTGTTATCAACTTCACATCCCCTACAAATGTCCCTAGCTGCAAGTGCCAGCCTCTGAGAGAGACCACGAGCAGCATCTCTTCCTCAGGGACAGGGCAGTGGGAAGGAAGTCTGGGGAAACAGTAGGAACCCCTCCCCAGGTCACAGGAGGAGGGATGGAAGGCACGAACTTCCCTGGCACCTCCTCACATACCCGAGGGTATCACTGTCCCATGTCACTGATGAGAAATCCCAAACTCTGAAGAAGCTC